ATTGAGATGCGGCGACTATGGGAATTTGCTGGTTGACTCAATATGGGGTACAGACTTTTGGGGGTTGGGAAATTCGTCACCATCACTGTAGATGATGCCAAGTGGTTGGGAGAAGCCAAACCAGGTTGGCAATTGTGGCCAAGTTGGGTGAGGTGGATGGCATGAGTTGGGAAAGTGACAAATTTCAAAGTTGGGGTGCCTATAGAGAGGGGAAATGTGTGGTATGGGGTTTCCTTGGTTGGGGACTCCCTTGGGACCTTCTCTCTCGTCCTCCTCATCCTCTCCTACCTGGTTCAATTGCTACTCCAACTTTCTTGTGTGAACTTGTGAGATAATTGTGATTGAGTTACGTTTTCTATGGCAGCATACCCCCTAGTGCGCCGAAGTTCATAACTCGAGTTATACTCCATATTTTGATACTATTCACATTGGGAAAGATAGCCACGGTCAAGGGCTACAACATACTCGAGTTTAAAAGAATTCTAAATGTGCGTTAATCGTCGACGGCATTTCTTGTGACGACGACTTTTCTGTCCAGAATTGTAGTTGACGATTTTGAGATATTTCAGCCCCTAATCTTCATTGACTCCATCCTTAGTCTCTAACAAGTGGTATCAGAGCTGATTAAGGACTTTGTGGAGAGTCTACTGAAGTGTGAAGTGTGAAAAAATGAGAATGGTTGACTAGGAAAATGAGTTGGGTACAAATATGAAACCCTAGGAAACTGTACCCCATAGTGTCTACCCCACTACAGCCTACACATGCTATGTGATTAATCTTTGACACACCCCCATAGGCAAAGTGGGGGAGAACAAGGGGTCACAAGACCAGTCAATCAAAGCAAGCTCAGGGTGGATCACAACGTCACCACACATTCCGAGCACAGGTTCAAAGGCCACAAAGCCAGTTCACATGCAGGATTATATATACAAGGTAAACAAGCATGTACAGGTATATATATAGATCACAGTACAAGTAAAGTCAAGAGGTAAGCAAGTGGGGCCAAGTAGGCACAAAACCTAGCATAGTACAGAAGTGCTGATGATCACAAGGCTGAAGTGCCTTGGTGAAGATATCAGCAGTGTTGGCCTGAGAGGCCACGTAAGCAAGGCGTAGCTGACCACGCTGCTGCAGCTCACGAGCAAGGAAGTAGCGAAGAGCAATGTGCTTCGTTCTGTGCTCCAGTCTGTGCTCCCGACACAAGGCCAGCATGGCCTTGTTGTCTACGTACAGAACAGGAGGAGAACGAGGCGGCTCTCCCAGGTCAGTCAGCAGGTAGGTGAGCCAGCGTAACTCCTGTGCAGCCATGGCCCCTGCGTAGATCTCAGCCTCACAGCTGGAGCTGAGAACAGAAGACGAGCGGGTAGACCGCCACGAAACAGAACCGGAACCAAGGCTGAAGGTGTAACCCTGTGACGACCGCTGAGTAGCCAGGTCTTCAACCCAAGACGCGTCTGGGTGACCAGTGAGGACCACTGGACTCCGCCCTCCAAGCACGAGCCCCATGCCCGACGTACTGCACAAGTAGCGCAACACCCTCTTCGTGGCCGCCATGTGCTCTGGTCGGTGTCTGCCAGGAGCAACATAGTGTGCCAAGATGCTAAGAGGGTATGCCAGGTCAGGTCGAGTGCAGGTCATCAGGTACATGAGGCAGCCAACAAGCTCTGGGTACGGGCCACTCGGCTCTACGGACTCATCCGAAGGCAGAGCTGAGAGCGAGTGGCGAGTAGACAGAGGAGTGGCCTGAGGCGAGGAGTACGTGAAGTCGAAGCGCTGAAGGACCTGCTGCACCATGTGTGACTGAGTCAGGGTAATGGTGCGCCGTGCTCTGTCCCGGGTGATCTGCAAGCCAAGATAGCTGCGCAGTTCACCCAGGTCTGTGCACGTGTGTCTCTTCTGCAGCTCGGACTTCACGTGGGCGAGTCCAGCAGTGTCAGCCGTAGCAAACACCAAGTCGTCGACGTACACGAGGATGTAGAACGGCGGCAGCAAAGTGTCGGTGCGAAGAAACAGCGACGGGTCAGCGGTAGAAGGAGCAAACCCAAGAGCCGCAAGAGTAGTCCTCAGTGTGTCGTGCCACTCACGGGGCGCCTGGCGGAGACCGTAGACTGGCCGCCGGAGGCTCCACTGGGTACCAAGAGGAAACGACCGAGTGAAGCCAGGTGGGCGGCGCAGCCAGATCTCCTCGTGCAGGCTGCCCTGTAGGAAAGCAGTGCTGAAGTCAAGAGAGTGAAGCTCGTAGTCACGCTGAGCAGCGACGTGCAGCAGAACCCGAAGAGTGGTCATCTTTGGGGTCGGGGGAGAAGGTCTGAAAGTAGTCAACTCCCTGCCGCTGACTGAAGCCTCGAGCCACGTAACGCGCCTTGAAGACAGGCGGAGAACCCGGCGGCCGCTTTACCCTGAAAATCCACATGCCACTGACGATGTTCGTCCCAGGTGGGGGAACCTCGTCGACGTAGGTGCCTGTGGACTTCCAGGAAGCCATCTCTGCGTCCATGGCTGACTGCCACTGAGAGGAGTAAGGACCCTCTATCGCCTCTGCGTAAGAGCGCGGGGTCGGGATGTCTGGTGCATCCGGGTCTCCCTCAGGGGCAAGCAGCATGGACACGAGATGAGGTCAAGCAGTAGCAAAACACTGGAACTCCTCCTGCCTGTCCTCAAGGACGTCCGTGCTAAGAGCACACTCACCCCCGACGGACGGAGGACAGACAGACTCAGACTCAGCAACAAGACTAGCGGCGTAGTCTAGACGACAGTGAGCAGCGAAGTCGACAAGCTCGGCAACTAAGGCAGACGCAGCAGTGGACTCAAAGGAAGGGTCAGTGACAACAGTGGCTAGGAAACGCGTGACAGTAGGACTGGCAGCACGAAGGGAGTCAGACTCTGGGTCAGCAAGAGTAGGAAGAGAGGACTCTGGAGGAGACGGCAAAGGGACACGCTGCGGCGCAGTGGAAGGACGCAGTGCCATCTGATGTGTGCCCGGGATCGCAGGAGGACGCTGACGTGGAGCACGACGACTAGTGCGAGCAGTACGAACAGGCGACGCAGGACGCGACTCAGGCTCACGACGCTCAGCAAGACCTCCAGTAGGACCAGCGTAGGGAGAAGGAGCAGGCAGTGGGGAGGCCAGCTGTAACTGTGACTCGGACTGGACAGGCAGTGGACACTCTAAGGAAGGAGCAGGACCAGAAGAAGGCGGAAGACCAAGAACCTGCTCAAGGAGCGGAACAAAGTACGGCCGCGGCCGCGTAGCGCCTCCAGAACCAGCAGGGACAGCACCAGCATCTGCAGCGTCAGCACCAACTCCAGGAACTACCCCACTACAGCCTAAACAGACTATAGCAGATATAAGTTTGACACACCCCCATAGGCAAAGTGGGGGAGAACAAGAGGTCACAAGACCAGTCAAGAAAGACAAAGCAAGCTCAAGGTGGATCACAAAGTCACCACGCAGTCTGAGCACAAGCAAAGGGCCACAAGGCCAGTTCACATGCAGAGTTATATAAAGGAAAGCAAACAATACAGTGAACACAACCTAGCAAGCGTAAGCATGCAGGTATAAGTATATAGAGTACAGTACAAGCAGAGTCAAGAAGTCAGCAAGTGAGGTACAGTAGGTACAAGGCCTAGAACAGTACAGAAACGCTGATGATCACAAGGCTGAAGTGCCTTGGTGAAAACATCTGCAGTGTTGGCCTGTGAGGCCACGTAAGCAAGACGAAGCTGGCCACGCTGCTGCAACTCTCGAGCAAGGAAGTAGCGCAGAGCAATGTGCTTCGTTCTGTGCTCCAGTCTGTGCTCCTGACACAAGGCCAACATGGCCTTGTTGTCGACGTACAGAACTGGAGGAGAACCAGGCGCCTCTCCCAAGTCGGTGAGCAGGTAGGTGAGCCAGCGAAGCTCCTGTGCAGCCATGGCCCCAGCGTAGATCTCAGCCTCACAACTGGAGCTGAGAACAGAAGAAGAGCGGGTAGACCGCCAAGAGACAGAACCGGAGCCAAGGCTGAAGGTGTAACCCTGTGACGACCGCTGCGTAGCCAAGTCGTCAACCCAGGAGGCGTCAGCGTGACCAGTGAGGACAACTCGAGCCCGTCCTCCAAGCACGAGCCCCATGCCCGATGTACTGCACAAGTATCGCAACACCCTTTTCGCAGCATCCCAGTGCACCTTTCGGTGTCTGCCGGGAGCCACGTAGCGAGCCAGAAGGCTGAGAGGGTTTGCGAGGTCAGGTCGTGTGCAAGTCATCAGGTACATGAGGCAGCCCACAAGCTCTGGATACGGGCCACTCGGCTCTACGGACTCGTCCGAAGGTGGAGCTGAGAGCGAGTGACCGGTAGGCAGAGGAGTGGACTGTGGCGAGGAGTATGTAAAGCCGAAGCGCTGAAGGACCTGGTGCACCATGTGTGACTGAGTCAAGGTAATGGTGCGCTGTGCTCTGTCCCGGGTGATCCGCAAGCCAAGATAGCTTGTCAGCTCACCCAGGTGTGTGCACGTGTGTCTCTTCTGCAGCTCAGACTTCACGTGGGCGAGTGCCTCAGTGTCAGCAGTAGCAAAGACCAAGTCGTCTACGTACACGAGAACGTAGAACGGCGGCAGAGTAGTGTCAGTGCGTAAGAACAGAGAAGGGTCAGCAGTGGAAGGAGCAAAACCAAGAGCAGCAAGAGTCGTCCTGAGTGTGTCGTGCCACTCACGGGGTGCCTGGCGGAGACCGTAGACTGGCCGCCGGAGGCTCCACTGGGTACCAGCAGGAAACGACCCAGTGAAGCCAGGTGGGCGGCGCAGCCAGATCTCCTCGTGGAGGCTGCCCTGTAGGAAGGCTGTGCTGAAGTCAAGCGAGTGGAGCTCGTAGTCACGCTGAGCAGCAACGTGCAGCAGTACCCGAAGAGTGGTCATCTTCGGGGTAGGGGAGAAGGTCTGAAAGAAGTCAACTCCCTGATGCTGACTGAAGCCACGTACAACGTAACGCGCCTTGAAGGCAGGCGGAGAACCCGGCGGCCGCTTCACCCTGAAGATCCACATGCCACTGACGATGTTCGCCCCAGGTGGGGGAACCTCGTAGCGCGGGGTCGGGATGTCTAGTGGATCTGGGTCTCCCTCAGGGGCAAGCAGCATGGACACGAGATGAGGTGAAGCAGCTGCAAAGCACTCAAGGTCCTCGTGTCTGTCCTCAAGGACGTCCGTGCCAAGAGCACACTCACCCCCGACGGACGGAGGACAGACAGACGCAGACTCAGCAACAAGACTAGCGGCGTAGTCTAGGCGACAGGCAGCAGCAAAGTCAACGAGCTCAGTAACAAGAGCAGACGCAGCAGTGGACTCAAACAGAGGGTCAGTGACAGCAGTGGCCAGAAAGCGCGTGACAGTAGGACTAGCAGCACGAAGGGAGTCAGACTCCGGGTCCGGACCGTCAGGAAGAGAGGACGCAGGAGGAGACGGCAGAGGGACACGCTGTGGAGCAGTAGAAGGACGCAGAGTCATAGAGTGAGTGCCAGGGACAGGAGGAGGACGCGGACGCGAAACACGACTAGTGCGAACAGGTCGGACAGGCGACGCAGAGCGAGGCACGGGTGACACAGGACGCGAGTCAGGCTCACGACGCTCCGTAAGACCTCTAGTCGGTCCATAGTAAGGAGAAGGACCAGGCAGCGGAGAGGCCGGCTGAAACTGCGACTGGGACTGGACAAGCGGTGGACTCAGGAAAGGAGGAGGAGGAACAGGAGAAGGCGGAGAGCCAAGAACCTGCTGAAGGAGCGGAACGTAGTACGGCCGCGGCCGCGCAGCGCCTCCAGAAACAGCAGAGACAGAACCGGTACCCTCAGCCCCAGGGTCTCCAGTCCCAGCAGCACCTCCAGCAGCTCCAGCACCAGCACCACCTCCAGCAGCGCCAGTACCTCCAGTAGCCCCAGTAGCACCTCCAGCACCTCCAGCAGCTCCAGCACCAGCAGCACCAGCACCAGCAGCACCTCCAGCAGCTCCAGCACCAGCACCACCTCCAGCAGCGCCAGCACCTCCAGTAGCTCCAGTAGCACCTCCAGCACCTCCAGCAGCTCCAGCACCAGCACCACCTCCAGCAGCGCCAGCACCAGTAGCACCTCCAGCAGCTCCAGCAGCACCAGCAGCAACTCGACAGCGCCGAGAGTACCACTCACGAAGCCGCTGTGGAGAGAGGGGCTCCCGCCGCGACGGGACACCTAGAGTACCTCCAGACTCAGTACCCTCAGGCGCCACACCCCCAGGCTCAGCACACCCAGTCTCAGCACCCCCAGACTCAGCACCCCCAGTCTCAGCACCCCCAGACTCAGCACCCCCAGTCTCAGCACCCCCAGTCCCCGCACCCGCAGGGTCAGCACCCCTAGCAGCACCTGAGTCGACAGCTACCTCGACCGGCTCGGCAGGGTCTACCTGGGACACACCTGAGGGGGCAGGACCCTGGGGGGGGAGGGGGTCTACCAGGGGAGTACCTGGTGCCAGGAAGAGTGGCGGGGGGGGGGGAGAGGCAGTGCGGTAGGGAAAGAGACGGTAGTACGACACCGACTCGTCGAACGTGACGTCCTGAGAGGACAGAACACGACGCGAGGTGGGGTGGTAGAACTGCCACCCGGGTGCGTCAGGAGGGAAGCCAAGGAAGACACAGGGAACGGCACGGGAGGACAGCTTGTCCGCTGTAGTATCGCGGACAAAAGCTCGAGATCCCCAGACTCGGAACGCTGACGCATCGCCAACCTTCCCCGTCCACCTCAGTGTAGGTGTGGTCTCCGGCAAGGAGACACGAGGTTGAAGGTTGATCTGATGCGCAGCGTACTGAACCGCGAACGGCCACAGAAAATGGGGAGCAGCCGCATGGATCATGGACGTACGAGCGACGTCCATGACCATGCCAATGCGGCGCTCAGCAATCACATTTTGCTGCGGGGAGGCCGGAAGCGTGAACGTCTGGCGGATGCCCTCAAAACGACAAAAGGCTCTCAGGAGGTCGGAGGAAAACTCCCCGCCTCTGTCTGAGTGCAGACGCAGAACAGGAAGGTCTGAGCCGAAACTCTCACTAAGCTGGCGACGAGCACCGCGGATCCAGTCGATCAACACCTCAGTGACCTCACCCTTGCTGCGTAAGGGGAAGACTGTGGTGTAACGCGAGTAGTCGTCAACGACCAGTAGGAAGTAACGCTCGTGACCCTGTCCACGGACGCGGGCTGGGCCCCACACGTCCATGTGAAGAGTCTGCAGAGGGGCCTCAGCCGGAGGAAACGAGGAGGAGTGAGGAGCGGCGCGCTGCCGGCCCTCGACACAAGGAACACAGGTGGGGGCAGGCCTCGGAGGAAGGGGAGGGAGGGACCTGGGGAGTCCAGAGACAAGAGCACGGGAGGCCATACCTCGAAGTCGAGGCAGGGAGGGGTGACCAAGGCGGTGGTGCCAAAGGAGAGTCTCGTGCGCCAGAGGACGACACGAGCAGGGGGCAGACGCAGGACTAGACCTGGACGCGGCAGCAAACACCTGACTGGACGCAGCTACCTGACCAGACGCAGGGACCGGAGGAGGCGCAGTAGTCAGTGTGTACAGACTCGACCCTGGCCGACGGGTGAACGTGGCCAGGTGGCGGCCCGTCCGAGAGCAAGTGCAGTGGGTCACACGCTGACCTCCAGGGGTGAACTGGTCAACCCACGCGTCCTGGAGGTCAGCTCTACTCACCAAGTTCGTAGAGAACGAGGGGAGGTGGAGTCCCGACAGCAAGCCCGACGGGGCCGCAGGACACGGTAGAACCGTGGAGGAGTGTGCAAGGACCGGGCCCCCGGAGGGGTCAGCAAGGGAGACCGCAACAGGCCGACTGAGCGGCGTGAGCGTGGTGCTGTCTCTAAAGAAAGAGCGCGAAGCACCAGAGTCAAGTGTGAAAGTGTGAAGGGACTCAGTAGGTGCAGTACCAGAGAGAGGAGACGTACCAGCACCTGGAGCAGCAGACGCACTAGCACCTAGAGCAGCAGCCGCACTAGCACCTAGAGCAGCAGCCACAGTGCCCGGGTCGGGCGGGACACGCAGGTAACAGTCACCCTCAGTAATATCAGCAAAAGCATACATGGCAGCAAGGATAGCATCAAAGTCTAGATCAAAGATAGGCACATTCTGCAGAAGCAGATCATGCCAACGAGGAAGCTTAACGGCGTCAGGAAACTGGGCACGCCAAGCGTCAGTCAAGCGGCCGAAGCAGCGCTGCGTGGTGTGTGGGAGACCACACACCTCCCCACTCCGAGTGCCGGTGCGAAGAACGTAAGAGCAGGGACCCGCACCCCCAGACCTCCCACGCCCAGCGTACCACTCACGAAGCTGCTGAACCGACGGGGTCTCACGGGTGCGCTGCTGCTGCTGGCGCTGGCTGCCACCAAGGCCTCCACGCTGCGTGGCTGCACCGCGACCAGCACCACCTCCTCCGCTACCTCCACCACCGCTGCCGCCGCCTCCACCCCCTCCGCCACCGCCGCCACGGCCTCCACTGCCGCCACCGACTCCCCCACTCCCTGTACCACCCCCACCACCACCTCCACCTCCTCCACCGCCTCCACCGCTTCCCCCACCGCCCCCTCCACCACCCCTGCTTCCCTTGCCCTTGCCGGTGCGGCGTCGCCCACTAGAGGCAGACGCAGCGCCGACCTCCTCAGTGCCAACGAGGTTGACAGCAGCAGCAGAGGCAACAGAGGGGAGAAGGGGGACAGGGGAACACCCCTCAAAGAAGGGGGTGCGACGGTCGCCGCGAGAAGCACCGACAGCTAAGATACTCTTCTCAGCTGCAGCAAGGCGCTCCTCTAGCAAGTCGACAGTCAGCTCGGTGGGGCATAGGGAGAGAAAGTGGTCCCTGACTGAAGAGAGAGAGTCAGGGAGGCGGGTGACTAGGTAGTAAAGGGTGATGTACATGGGGGGGGAGTTCGTGGGAAGGAACGCAGTGGGAAGGGCAGCGCGGTAGCGGGCGTCACTGGTGCGAAGGTGAGCAACCAGGTCAGCAACTGTGGCAAAGGCGGCAAGGTCAGGAAAAAGGTACGGCAGCATGAGGCGGCTGAGGGCAGCAGTGGCAGGGGAGCTGTAGCGTGCAACTACAGCGTCGTACAGAGTCTTAGCACTCTTGTACTGACTAAAGTGCGCGCGCTCAGTAGACGGTAGGTGACTACGCACAGCAAGGCGGGCAGCAGCATCGCGCGTGGTCCACTGCGAGCGAACAGTACTGTCAGCATCAGCAGCAGGGGCAGTAGAGGCGCCAGACGTGAGATCGAACAGTGAGAGACCGTCCTTGCTATCGCACTGTAGGAAAAGCTGCAGATCATCTAGCCAGACCTCAAAGTCAACTGCCCGACCCTCAGCATCAAAAGTAAGGACACTGAGACTAGCCATGACAGCAGCAGCAGTAGGCTAGCAGCAGCAGCAGTGCAACTCAGCTAAGCAGGCTAGGCAGGGCAGCGCGGCTTGGCAGGGCGGCTCGACAGGGCGGCACGGCACGGTGGAGCAGTGCGGTTCGGCAGCGCGGCTCGGCTCGGCGGTGCGCTTACCAGGGGCGAGGCCGGGGCAGGGCCGGGGGAGGGTCGGGGCAGGACTGGGACAGGTCCGGGGTAGGGCCGGGGCCGGGCCGCAAGAGATCCGGGGCTGGGCCGAGGCAGGGCCGCGACAGCACAGGAGCAGGGCAGGGGCTGAGTCGGGGCAGGGCCGGGGCAGAGCCGGGGCGAGGCCGCGACAGGTCCGGGACAGAGCCGCGACAGGGTCGGGGTAGGTTCGGGACGGGGCCACGACGGGGCCGGGACAGGGCCAGGGTCGGGGGAGGTCCGGGACGGGGCCGCGACAGGGTCGGGGCAGGGCCGGGGTCGGGGCAGGTCCGGGACGGGGCCGCGACAGGGTCGGGGCAGGGCCGGGACGGGGCCGGGACAGGGCCGGGGAAGGGCCGAGGCGGGCCGCGAAGGGGGCCGCAACTGGCCTAACGGGCCGCGAAGGGGCCGCGACAAGCCGCGACGGGGCCTAACGGGCCGCGAAAGGGGCCGGGGAAGGGCCTGGGCGGGCCGCGAAGGGGCCGCGACGGGCCAAACGGGCCGCGAAGGGGGGCCGCGACGGACCTAACGGGCCACGAAGGGGCCATTACGGGCCGCAAGGGGGCCTAACGGGCCGCAAGGGGGGCCGCTACGGGCCTCAAGGGGGCCGCTACGGGCCTCAAGGGGGCCACTACGGGCCGTGAAGGGGCCGCGACGGGCCGCGAAGGGGGCCGCGACAGGCCGCGAAGGGGCCTAACGGGCCGCAAGGGGCCACTACGGGCCGCAAGGGGGCCTAACGGGCCGCAAGGGGGGGCCGCTACGGGCCTCAAGGGGGCCGCTACGGGCCTCAAGGGGGGGGCGCTACTGGCCTCAAGGGGGCCACTACGGGCCGTGAAGGGCAGGCGCGACGCGCGCGTCGGGCAGGTAAGAAAAAAAAAAAGTATTTTCAGTGGTGGGCCCTTAGGAAAAATCGAAACTAGCTCTATACCATGTGAGAATTGAGGAATGAATGATTGAACTAGAAACGAGATGGGTACAAGTAGAGAACACAAAAGTGTTGTACCTTCTAGGAACTACCCCACTACAGCCTAAACAGACTTAGCAGATATAAGTTTGACATTAGTGAGGATTGAAGTAGCATTTTGGGCCAAGTAGAATTGCAATATCAACTATGAATACAAAAGCAAACACACAACTAGATATAGGCTACGGGAAGGTTTCACAAAGTTGGTGTGGCACTGCGCTGTAACCCAACCCCACGAAAGTGGTGTGTGGGTGAGCGAACGCGCCTCGTCAACTTCCCAACCCAACTCAGCAGGGAAGTCAATGCCGAGCTCGCCAATTCTCCCAGCACAACTAGAAATGGCGAGACTCACAGAGAACCACCCACAACCACCAAGACCACCCAAGAAGCATGCCCACGATTTCCCTAGACTAACACCACCCCAGCAATGACTGTTTAGTGCTGCCGTTGTCACATCGCGTCACTACGCAACCATCGCCAAATCATAGGGTCGGTGCTAGACTGCTCGTCTTGGTCTTTCATAGTCGACCTGCCAAGTCAAACGGTCGTCGAGGGCCCTTGCTGTCGTAGGGCCCTCTAACAAGGAGGAGATGGGCGAAGTAGGGAGGTAATGCCTCGACGCACCAGATGCCACCCCACACGACTTTCTGGTACACGAATGGCGGAGTTAACTGCGGGTGAATGGCGATACCTAGAACATCCATCAGTCCCGCCGCCGCAAGCAGCGGCACGGCTAGCCCGATGCACAGCCCGCCGATCGTGCCGGACGAGAATGAAACCGCGACGCGAGAAAGAACGGCGCGAGTTTATTCGGAAATTAGTAAAGCCATGGTGGAGCGTGAGAAGCGAGATATCAGCAGGTTGGAAATAACTAGCTGTTGATGGTTAGGGTTAACTTCCTAGGTTTGAGGCGCTCAGCCTAGATGCTATCGAAACAGCGGCGCGGTTGGCCCAATGCACACGTAGCTCATGCTTTCCGTAAGTCCATAACGAAAGGAGGTGGGCGAAACGAGACTAGGTCCTGTCATCTACCTGAAGCGCTGTGGCGCTGCATTTGAATCCAGCATTGCACAAGCAGGACGCAAGGAAATTCGTAACTTGTCGCGAATCGCCCACAAAGCATCACAAATGCCCACTTTGTACTTTCTTGCAAACCTGCTTGGTTCTTGAATTTTTGTTTCGCTTAGTGAATCGTCCTTCGGGACATCCGTTAAAATTGGAACGATACAGAGAAGATTAGCATGGCCCCTGCGCAAGGATGACACGCACAAATCGAGAAATGGTCCAAATTTTTTCGGGGATCTGACGGAGAATTTGCCCAATCACAGCTCGGCAATGTTCTTGACTAGAAAGCTTTTTTGGTCTCGATCACGCACCTTTGAGCTCATCATCGTGGCATCGTGTCCGTGGTTGTCAGACGTAGCCACATAGTTAGTCGTGTGGTGGCTTTTGCTCCGTGAACAGCGCAACTGGCTTTTCCAGACGTTTCACGACGTGAACTGGCCGCGGGGCCTTTGGATGAGCTCGCCGCACAGCGGCGCCTCGATGGGTTGCTTTCGCCCTTCGCGCGGCGCGATCGAGTCGTTCCACGAACGTTCGACCGCGACCTTCATGCCACGTGGCAGTCGTCGGTCGATCCGAGCTCTTCTCCTCACGATCGCCATTCGTCTTGATCGTCTCAGCTCCGACCGTGCTATGCGAAAGTGATGAACGTGAAAGCAGGAGCGAAAGCAGGAGCGGCAGCAGAGACAGCAGCACGAGCAGCGACTTGGATGTTTCTGAAACGCGTCTCGGGAAACGTGAATTCGAGTACGTAGGTGATCCAAGCGCATATGCTGCTCGCGCTGCTAGATCACTTCAACCATGAGTTTTACTACACGACAGACTGGCAGGTGCGGCCAGGTTCTAACATGTATGGGTAGGTTTGGGCAGGTTTGGCCAGGTACCCGCATGTTCAAGGGGGTTCAGGTGGGTGAGCAACTGCTTCTAGATCTCTTGAACCACAAGATTCATTACAAGGCAGACTGGCAGGTACTGATAGGTGGGGTCAGGTACAAACAGGTGCAAGGGAGTGAGCAAGCTGTGAGGTGACTGCGGAGGTGCACTTGTTGCCGCCTCCGCTAGATCTCTTCAACCACGACTTCTAGTCAGCAGACTGGCAGGTACGGATAGGTATGGACAGGTAAGGGTAGGTGCAGACAGGTACGGGGCAGATATGGGCAGGTACAGGCAGGTTCAACAGGTTCGGACAGGTTTGTCAGGTTCAGGGCAATCTCTGGAGGTGAAAGAGGCCCATTCAGAGTAATTTAAACATGAATTTTAACTGGCAGGTCAGAGCCTTTTTTTTCTTTCTTCCCCTCCCCTTGCTCTCCCCACACCTTGCATCCCCTCTCCCTTCTTTCGACAAACAGTCATCTCCATTTCTCTCCTCCTTTCCTTCCTCACTCCGCTTCTCTCCCTCCCCCCCCTCCTCTCCCCTCCCGTTTTTGCCACGTCAGCCCACCATTCACTCCTCCACTGCTGACATCAACAACTTTGCTGCTGACGTCATCTCTCCAGGCCAGCCAATCAGCGTGGGCTATGGCTCCATGGACACCGCCCAGTTCCTGCTGCTGTACGGCTTCCTGCCGCCCAACAACCCATTTGACCAGTTCGTCCTTTTCGAAAACGCCACAGTGCTTCTTGACTACTACGAGACAAAATATCTTGCCCAGTGAGCTCTGTCTCTCACACTCACGTCTTCCCAGAGGGACCTGCAGGTGGGTGCTTTGAGACGTCTCAAAACACTCCTTCATAAACAGACTTCATAAACAGAGGGATCTGCAGGTGGGTGCTACAAGGTTGCCTGGCTGCAGGTGAGTGGTACCATGTAAGTGTCTGCATGCGGGCATGCCTCCCAGTCGCAGAGTGGCACTGGGCCACTACCGCCCAGTGGGGTGGGCTCTGGCCTTCACACTCACGTCCTCCCAGCGTGCTTCGTAGTCGAAGAGTGACGTGGAACTCGGGCAGCGCCCGAGTGGGCCCAGTGGGCCCTGGCTACTACGTGCACGTCCTCCCAGCGTGCTTCGGAGTCAAAGAGTGGCACGTGAGCAGCTCAAGGGGCTCTGCCTCTCACGAGCGCGTTCTTTCAAAGGAATCTGTCTGCACATGGGTGGGTGCCTCCCGCTTGCACTGTGACGCTGGCCCACTGTAGCATATTGGGCCCTGATTCACTGAGAGAGGGACGCACTGATTCGTGAGGCTCGTATAATTTGTTTTTAAGATTTATCTGCCCCCTTGGGATTGTGTGCAGGCCATGTGCAACGACAGCGAGGGGGAGGAGGGAGAGAGCAACGCTCTTGTGGCCATCAAACAACCGCCATCCTTCCAGGTACACGTGGCTCGCCACAAGTGAGTGTTGACACGTCTCAAACGTAAAGCTGCCAGTAATTAAGCCATCCACCATGCAAGACAACTTTTGAGGCGCCTCAAAAGTAAGCCATCTACCATGCAAGACACTTTTCACACTTCTTTTTGTACGCTGCTCCCCCTTGCCTCATTCTCCTCCATGTTCCCCTCTTTCCATGCATTTTGTGGGCCTCTCACATATGTCACTTGAATGTTCTCAGATCGCTCAAAGATGTGTTATATCAGTCAAGACAAACCCAACAAACAATTGCTTTCTCCATTTCCTTCTCCTTACGTTCTTGCATCTCGTCTCTCGTCTCTCTCCCGCTCTTATCTCCCCACTGCAGAGAGGCGTGCTAGAAGAGACAAGGGATGCCGCCCAGGTGCTGCCGGTGCTGTCCAGGCAGCGCAGCGAGGAGATATCGTCAGCGCTGACGAGGCGACAGCTGTCGGAAGACAAGTGG